AATTTCTTAACTCAGATGGTTAAACTACATCTAATTAGAGTTCTAGGAGGATAATTTAATGGAACATGTAGTGATTTAAATTAAATTAGTTAAAACTAGATAAAGTTAAAAATTCAGTTCCTCAGTTATACAACTACTTTCAGGTTCGCAGTAGCCACATATGCTGGTGGCTTCCATCCTGGAAAGTGCATCTCACAGAACATTTCCTTTATGGCACAGTTCTATTGAGCAGTGTTGATCTATACCATAAAACATGTCTGAACAAATTTCAAATAACTGGTGTCATACAGATCATATTATCTGGTCATAAACTTTACATTAGAAAGCAATAACAGTAACTTTTTTTTGAAAAAAAAAAATGCCCACCTTACATCTGAAATCTTTTTAAAAAAAYATTTCCAAATAACTCATAGGTCAAAGAAATCACTGGGACATTTAATACATTAATACTGATGGATAATGAACTTATGAAATCCTACTTAGATGGAAATTTTATCTGAAATGCCTATGCAAATAATAACTCTAAAAATTAAGAAGCTAAATAGTCAAATGAAGATGTTATGATGATAAAAGAGAGTGAAGAAAAAAAATAAACAAAATGTATAAAACAGAAAAAACTATCATAGGTTCATTAAGGGAAAAAGATCATTTTATGAAAAGACTAATAAAATTGATAAACATCTGGCAAAATTTGCCCATAAACAAAAAGAAGTCTAAAACAAATAATATTTGCATTTTAAAAGCAATAGGATTAAAAGACAGTAAAAGAACATTTTGAACAAACATATGTCAATTAATTTTAAAGCCTACATAAACAAATTTTACAAAAACATGTCTTACTAAAAATTGATGAAGAAAAAGTAGAGTTTGAATAGCCTTTTTACCAATAAAGGAATGTGATTCATAATGAAAAGTGGAAACTTTAAAGAGGATTAGATGTTTTCCCAAGCAAGTTTTAATAAATATTCAAGGAAATAAGTAATTTYAATTCTTCATAAATTCTTTTCTGAGAAAAGAAAAATAGGAAACACTTCCTAACTCATTTCTAAGACTGGGCTAATCAAGACATCAACACCAAGGAGACCATGATATATTATATGTCAAATTCACTCATGAACATAGATCCAAAAATCTTAAAATAAAATTTATCAAATTTAATCCAGTAATTAATAATACATTATGATCAARATGAGTCTAACACAGGAATACCAAGGTGACTTACCATTAAGCAATTTATTAGTATGATATACCACATTATCTTATTAAAGAGAAAWACTAAGTGTTATGGTTTAGATATGAGGTGTCCCTCAAAGGCTAATGTGTTAGACAATGCAAGAAAGCTCAGAGATAAAATGATTGGGTTATGGGAGCCTTGACCTAATCAGTGCATTAATCTACCTGAATGGATTAACTGATTGATAACCACAGACAGGTAGGGTGTGGCTGAAGGAGGTAAGTCACTGGAGGTTTGCCTTTAGGGTATATATTCTGTCCCTGATGAGCACAGCTTTCTCTTTCTCTGCTTCCTGGTGGTCATGTCCTGAGCTGCTTTCCTCCACCACACTCTTTTTCCATGATGTTCTGCCTCACTGTGGGCCAGAGCAATGGAGATAGCCTACTGTGGACTGAAACCTCTGAAACTGCGAGCCCCAAGTGAACTTTTCCGCCTCTAAATGATTCTTGTGAGATCTTTTGGTCCCAGTGGCAAAAAAGTTGTCTCAAACATATGATTGAGACATCTTAATAGATTCAGAGATTGTATTTGATAAAATTCAATATCATGACAATAATTCTCAGTAAGCCAGCACAGGATAGACTTTTGTTAAATTGATAAAAGCCATTGACCATGAGCATTTGCTATAATTCAACATCTGATTTATAAAAAGAACTTTAGTAAAGTCAGGTATGAATACCCTACAACAAAAATCATAACTGAAAGTTGATTATTAAAATAATTTCCTTTGCCAGGTACAGTGGTGCACACTTGTAATCCCAGCTACTCAAGAGGCTAAGGCAGAATTCCAAATTGGAGACTAGCCTGGGTAACTTAGCAAGACCCTGTCTCAAAACATAAAAATACTGGGATGTGGCTCAGTACTGGTTAAGTGGCCCTGGTTTCAATTCCTGGCACCAAAAAATAATAATAAAATTTTAAAAACATGCATACATATATATTTTTGGAGAAAAGTTATAAACCTTTTTGAAAATCATGTTCATATAGATATACCATGTTTGTGAAGTAGAAAACTATCTCAAACTTATCTATAAATTCAATACACTTGCTATCAATATGAAAATGAATTTTTTGAAGAATGTGAGCAATAGGATTCTAAAACTTGCATGGGAAATTAAAGGTCCAAGAATATCAAAGACATTTTTGAAGAATAAGTGTTTTGGGKTTTTTTGTGGGGGGGAACATAAGTAAGCCCAGAAAYAAACTCATATACGTAGAAATTTGACATATGGCAGAAGTATCAGTGCAGATCGATGACGAAATAGTGTTAGGATAGTTGATTATACAAATGGAAAATAAAATTTGGCCCCTATATGTCACGATGGGCAAAGGTGTGACTTATGCAGTCAAGGGGGAGAAATAAAGAATGTCCACACACTTCTGCCCTTTTCAATGTTTTATTCGATCAAATCACTTAATATAATTTTACTTCTTAATCAAGAAAATGACAATCCTTAATGCTGGGCACTACAAAAACAATAATCCAGACTGATAAAAGCAATAAACACAACTAATTCAAAGCAAACAAATTCTAAGTTAACTCTAAGCACTGCAAACACTCTTAATCATAACAGACTTATTACAGACATTCCATTTGCATGCTAAACTTGGGTGCTAGATTTAAAGTCTTAAGACTTAGATCTTTAGTCCAGCAGATGCATACTTACTCAGATGCAGCAATCCGGTCAGGAACTGATGAAGGCTTCTTCTGCTGTGGAGGTGACAGCTGGTAAGGAGACATTGCCATTCTTACCAGGGTCAAAARACTGCTGTAGTTTGAGAGTGGTGAGGACAATGCAGAGGATTAGGCAGATGATGAGAAGAGTTGGGATGTCAGACTAGATCCTCATCAGGCTCTCAGGCTTGTGTCTATCAGTGTCAGCTGGTGAATGTCTGTTCATTTGCTCCAATATTTTTGTTAAATTTGGGGAGCTTCTGCTCGCCCTTTGAGTCCCTATCAGTTGTTACCAGGTTTCTTAGTGACATCTTACATCTTAGACAGGACATATGGTCTGGTGGTTCCTGCCCTGATACCCTTCTGACTCTTATCAGTTATGACAAATGACATGACTTCACCCGGACTCTTACCATAGTTGTGGAAAGTTATTTGTTTTTATCAGGCTATAMCTGATTGACATATTGAAGGACTCTGTGGTTTGCCTTTTAAGACTGCAGGTTTATTTTAAGATGGAGTTTTAAAATGGAGTTGCTTAGGCTAAAGCCTAAAGCCATCCTTACACTATAACACAACACACAGAAATGAATTCTACATTCACGAGGCTGAAATGTGAAATCAACAACTTATGACTTTTAAAGGAAGATATAAGCAGGAAAAAATATTTTAAAAACACACATAGATAAAATATCATTAAATAAAATTATTGGTATGTTTGACACATTAAAATAAAGAACTGTGCTCTGAAAGACATCATAAAGTGTAAAAGCAAGTCAAAAGGGAGGGAAGACTTTTACCAGATAAATACCCAACTGATAATGAATATCCAGAATAATAAGGAATGCTTACTAATCAATAATAATAAAAATTACGTAGGACAGTTAATGGGTATTTCATAGAAAAGAAATATGTATGACTACTCAACATATGACAAGATGTTAAATCTAAATAGAAACCAGGGAAAATAAAACCATAAGATGCTACTTTAAATCAACCAGATAGGTGCAGCCAATTTGGAAAGCAGTATGGAGATTCCTTGGAAATCTGGGAATGGAACCACCATTTGACCCAGCTATTCCTCTTCTCAGACTATATCCAAAAGACCTAAAAACAGCATACTACAGGGACACAGCCACATCAATGTTTATAGCAGCACAATTCACAATAGCTAATCTAGATGTCCTTCAGGGGACGAATGGATAAAAAATGTGGCACATATACACAATTGAATTTTACTCGGCATTAAAAAAGAACAAAATCATGGCATTTGTAGGTAAATGGATGGTGTTGGAGAAGATGATGCTAAGTGAAGTTAGCCAATCCCAAAAAAGCAAATGCAAAATGTTTTCTCTGATACAAGGGGGGTGACTCATAGTGGGATAAAGAGGGAGAGTATGGTAGGATTAGATTAATTCTAGATAGGCAAGAGGAGTGGGAGGGAAAAGAAGGGGGCAGGGATTAGCAAGGTTGGTGGAATGTGATGGTCATTATGCAAAGTACATGTATGAAAACTTGAATTGGGTATCAACATACCTTATATACAGATATGAAAAATTGTGCTCTATATGTGTAATAAGAATTGTAATGCATCCCCAGTGTTGTCGTGTATTTAAAAAATAACAAAACCAATAAAAAATAAATCAACCAGATAGGTACACGTTTATATGTCTTGYCTTTCTTCCATCTTTCTATTTTAAGACAGAGTCTTGCTATGTTGCCCATTCTGGCCTCAAACAAGATTCTCCTGCCTCAGTCTCCTCAGTAGCTGGAATTAAAGACCTGAACCACCACACATGGCTCAGACTGATAAACATTTAAAGTCTGGTGGTACCAAGAATTGATGGGGAAAAAAAAAAGAATTATGTAATAGGCTCCTCTGGAAAACACTTGAACATTTTCTAATAAACTGGACAGTAACCACCCAAGAATTCTGCTTCCCAATGTGGTCCCTAAAGAAACTCTTGCATATAAACATGAAGCATTTTCTTGTTTGTTTACAACAAGTCGTTGAAGCGAGGAGCTGGTCCAAATGTTCCTCCACTCAAATAAATGGTGATACTATATAGTAGTGAAAATCAATGAACCACAGCCACATCCTCAACACTGAAGATTCTCACTTTAGTTCTTTCAAAATGATGGATTTTCATAATGTTTAACTTTTGCTTTCATAGTTTGAACTCAAGTTTATTTGTGTCTTGCTACACATCCGTATTTCAAATTGTATAACGCGAGATGTTGACAGAAACTGGGCTCTGAGTCACTGTAAAGAAAGGGGCCTAATTCTGAGTCACGTCTAGGGCACTAGAATGTTTTGGCATAAAGCCACAATGCCAGGCTACTCCTCAGATTTTCCAGAGACCACTCGTTTCTCCCTCCTCCCTTCACATTTTTTTTTCCCAGTTGGAGTTCCTCTTCATGTTGTGGATAAGAAACAGAACGTCCCCGCTGTGTTCCGTGGCCCTACAGTCCCCAAGGCCCGCCAATCTCTGATCAGAACAACCTCCTGGAACGCCCAACTCCTAATTCCTTTTCACCCGCTCAGGTTCTCAAAAACCAGGACCATGACAAGAGTGGGCTGGTTTCCACTTCAACACTCCTTGGCTCTCTGAGCCAAATTTTCAACTCTGCACAGCCAGTCGCCTCATCGGTCCGCGCAGCCTGGGACCTCAGGCCAAGAAATCCTCGAGTGATTTTATTTCGGCAAAATCAAAAAAACGAAAACCAAAAAGAGACTACAAACACCTTGCAGCCCGGCGCTTCAATTCCACCCGCGGTTCCCGTCCGACCCGCAGCCCAGCGCAGTCGCGGGCCTCGCCCTGACGTCATCAAGGCGCCCGGAAGTAGCCGTCAGGCTGGAGACGTCACCCGGTTGCGCCGAGTAAGATCGCTGCTTACCAGTTGCTGGGAGGAGGCTAGAGGGAAGCTGCTGGGTCAGGATCATGCCTAACAGGGAGAGCTTTCCCGGGCAGCAGAGGCTGGTGGGCTTGGGGTGAAAGAAGCAGGGCAGATGCAAAATCTGGAGAGCGCGGGGGCCGGGCGGTCAGTCAGCACCCAGACTGGCAGCATGACCGGTGAGTGCCGGGGTCCCTGCTTCTGCCACCCCGCCTTTGGCTTTGCCTTGCGTCCCTGCCCGGATTGAACTCCGGTTCCCTGCCTCCGCTGCTCGCCTGCCCCGCCGCTCCCGGGTGTCTCGTCCCCTCCGGATCGGCCGCTCCGGCTTCTCAGAGCAAACAAATTCTAAGTCGCGCTCATTTCCCGCGTCCAGCCTTGTTTTCCTGGAAGGATCAAGAGCTAGGACTCCAGGGGCTGAAAAGCCCGACGCTTTTATTTTGATTCCCAAAATAGCCGCGCRTGACGCTTTGCCATTTTTAGTGCAGTGTTCTGCTCACTGCTCTTGAAGCCACCCCTCATTACTGTCCAGAGAACAGCCCGCTCCACCATCACATGCAAGGACTTGCCCCAACTTTTTTTGGATTGTTCCCATAACTACGTGTATCTGTTGTATTACTTATTTCTGCCGGGCGAGGGAAGAAGAGAATGGGTCCAACTTTGGAAAGTGTCGTGGGAGGTCGCCTCAAGTGAGGTTGTAGCRACTCCTGCCATAAAAGCTCTCCTCTTGTCCGCTAAACCCCTGCTAAAGCTACTAAGCGAATGCTGCTGTATCCAAGTGGCTTTGAGCTTTGTTCCTATTTTCATCTTTAGTAAAATTCTRAAGTGTTTGCCCTCTCCTTTGTAGGTCAAATGCCAAGACTTTCTAAAGTCAACCTTTTCACTCTGCTCAGTCTCTGGATGGAGCTCTTCCCAGGAGTAGAAGCCCAAAAGCAAAAATCTCAGGTATAATTTGTTTCTGTAGATAGTTTTTACCCTTAGAAAAGTGACCGTCTCAAATTGGATTTTATTGCTCCAGTTGCTGTCACGCTTGAAACCAAACTCTTAAGTAAGCCTTTAAAACTTCATGATAGTTTGATACTTGTAACTCATAGTGGAAGCAGTTCATCTTTCTGATCTAAAAACAAAATACTCTCTCAGACTGTGCCTTTTTTATCAGGTAATAATATTTGTATGTTGGTTTTACCAATATTTTGTCTATAATACATAAATTATCACCCAGTCATATCCTTTTAGTRTTTTGGCTAGTTTTCTCCCACCAAACTAAATTGCTTAAAGATGGAGCCCATATCTAATTTTACTTGGCATCTCCTTTAGTTGTTAATCTATTAATGCATAGTTTATTGTTTCATATAAGTCTCTTTTTTGGATTTTGAGAGATGATTAAAGCAGGATAGGAATATATAGTAAGAATAATCATAAAATCCAATATATTGGAAGCTAGTACAGCCTATATCATTTCCTTCTACTTCCTTTGGGATAATAAGGTTCTAGATTCTCATCATTTGTCTCCATGCTTGGAGTGGTGTGGAGGTAAGTTCTCACTATTTGGTTTGGTAATTTTTGATGTTTAGTGTTATCATTAATTTTTTAGAGAGCCAAAGCCAACTTATAAAAACAATTTTAGGTTAAGTTAAGCATTTTAAGAGTTTTTAGAAAGCAGTCAAAACCGGAAGGGGAGAAAGGGATTGCCTCTATCTTCTCACCATCCTAAAAACATCACTGTTGACATTTCTCTTTTTTTTCAATATTATTTTAGTTGTAGATGGACACAATACCTTTATTTTATTCATTTATTTTTATGTAGTGGTGAGGATCAAACCCAGTGCTTCACATGTGCAAGGCTAGTGCTCTGCCACTGAGCCACAACCCTAACCCCACTGTTAACACTTTGATACTGTTAACATTTGGATACTTTTCTTCCAATCTTTTTTTAAGCATAAGATTATTTTCTACTCTTATAAAATTGTGATTATTTTATGCATTGAGATTTTCAAATTGCCAATAATTCTGCTGAAAATTTGCTCTAGATTTTTTTTTTTACAGAAAAGCTTAAATTTCCACTTTATTCTTAAGAGGCCATTCAACACCACCTTTTTATTTTTTGTTTTGATTGCCTTCTTTATTGTGGCTGAAGTTGTGTGGTTAATGCTAGAGATAAAAAGAAGAAAAAAGGGGCTGGGGTTGTGGCTCAGTGGTAGAGTGTTTGCCTAACATGTGAGGCACTGGGTTCGATTCTCAGCACCACATATAAATAAATAAAATAAAGGTCCATCAAGAACTAAAAAAATGTTTAAAAAAGAAGAAAAGATATGGTCCTTATTTTCTAATGTGGAGAATAATCAGGCATTTAAATATTAAGATACAGTTATATGATGGAGCCAAGTATAAATTATAAGCGAAGATGCTAACAAGGTTTAGAACCAGGCAYAACATGAGAAAGTGAAGGAAGGATTCCACAATGAAGGTAGGATTTACACTGAGACATAAAGAATGAGTAGGCATTTGCTCAAATTGGAGGTTACCATGTAAGTAAGCTTARAGAAATGAATTTGTGGTCCTCAGCCTGAGAGTGAAGTTGGGTGGAGGATGAGACTATAAATAAGCTTGGGAAGGTAGGTGGGAATAATGTTGTAAAAAATCTATGCATTGGGCTGTGGCTGTGGCTGTGGCTGGGGCTCAGTGATAGAGCACTTGCCTACCATGTGTGAGACACTGGGTTCAATCCTCAGCAACACATAAAAATAAACACATAAAATAAAGGTATTATGTCCATCTACAACTAAGAATTTTTTTTTTAAGATGTAGGCATTGCAGAGGAGTTTAGATTTTATTCTGTCAGTATCAGGATTGAATTTAGGAATTTTAATGGGAAGTAAGGGAATTCATCTCATGATAAAATTGTGCTTCCCCCCATTCTTATGGGAAATATTTTATAAATAGTWAAACAGTATTTAAAATGTTATACATTGTTATTCTCTATTTCTTAACACCATCCAATACCCACCCTGATTTTATTAATGGTTTTGAGAAAGTTCTTCATTTCCTTCATGAATTTGGAAATTCCTTTATTTTTTCTACTTGTTTACAGCTTAATATTATTTTATAGATATAGAAGATTCCCATACTGTTTTAGATCTTTTTTGCAGATAAAATTTGTATTCAAGAGCCACAATATTAGAAGCAAATGTTTAGAGCTTTAAGAACTTTAAACAGCACATTTTAGCTGAGCATAGTGGCACACACCTGAAATCTCAGCAACTCAGGAAGGCCCCATTTCAAGATGAAAATAAAAAGGGCTGAGGMTGTAGCTCAGTGATAGGATCTCTTTGGGTTCAGTCCCCTGTATTGCAAAACAAAACAAAATAAAAAAGGTACATTTTAAAAACTGGACTTGTTAGAGGTTGAATAGTAATTTTAAAGAAGCTTTTTTTAAAAAAAATAATATCCAGATTTGATTTTAATTCTGTTTACACACACATATGCCCCAAAATATATCCTGTGCTGAAATTAAGTTCTTTTTCAACAGACAAGCACAAGTTTTATTAAATTAGTGAATAATGATATTTATATTTCTATTAGGAAGGAAGTCATTGGCCAACTAATTACCAAACTTTGTTTGCAAATAACGTACACTCTACCATTTCCTTGTTCTTTATGGAGAAAGCTGTGAAGCCTAAGAAAATAACTGARATAAGGCTTTCAGTTAGCATTTTGGTAAAAAAAAAAAAATAGTAATAATTAAATTTTAGACTTAAGGAACTTCATTAGTACAGGGTTTTATATAACTTTATATCTTAACAAAGGATTGAATTTATATTTCCATGTTTCCCCTAAAAATTATGACTTCTTCTTTCATCTGCACCATGGGAGTTTTTTAAAGGAAAGAAATCAGTCTTTTAACTATTTTATTTGGAGTCTTGTTTAGAAAACCGACTCGAACAAACACCTAATCTATTTAAGGTTTTTAAATCAAAGGTCAGACATAGGAATAAGTACAAAGGGYATTGGCATCCAATAAAACAAAACTCATGCTTTAAGAATTCCAGCTGACCTAAAATAGAGTTGACTTGAACATTAGAAAGGTCATCAGTCTTACATCCTCATTCTGACCCTGCCCTGTGACTATTCACTACATTAGTGTCTTCCCAGCTGTGCTCTAGCACCTGTGTCTCCTTGACCCACAGCTGTTGAGGTGGCCYCCACTTCTATTCCTCGCCTACAGGCTTAAGGACTCAGGTACTTAAACTAAGACATCCTTAGGATTATTCTAGCAGTGATAGTTTGGGTTAAATAAGCTTTTGTATGTTAGCTTGGGAACTTTTTTTTTTTTTTAGAGAGAGTGAGAGGGGAGAGAGAGTGAGAGAGAGAATTTTTAATATTTTATTTTTTAGTTCTCGGCGGACACAACATCTTTGTTGGTATGTGGTGCTGAGGATCGAACCCGGGTCTCAGGCATGCCAGGCGAGTGCACTACCGCTTGAGCCACATCCCCAGCCCCTAGCTTGGGAACTTGACTGTCATTTTTAGCATTATTTATTTACGAAAATGTGTCTTAAATTTCAGAGAAGCAAATTTACCAAATGTTTAGAAAATCATTTTGGTTGGTTGTCAACTATTTGTTCATCTAATATCAATAAAGTAGAGGTGTATAGTAATTTCATTAGTTCTAATGTCATGACCATTGCAAAGAAGCAAGAATGACAGCGTGGAGAAGGGGTAAAATGAAAGGGAGTACATTGTGCTCCACTCTTTTTTTAATTGTATAAATATAAACTTAAGTCTTAATCTACATAAAAAATTTTTAAATCATGCTTTTTTTTTTTTGTACTGGGATTTGAATCAAGGATTGCTTTACCACTTAGCTACACACCCAGTCCTTTTTATTTTTTATTTTAAGACAAGGTCTCAATCAGTTGCTGAGACTGGTTTTAGTCTTGCGTTCCTGCCTCAGCCTTCCAAGTTGTACATACCACCAAGCACAGCAGAAAATCATAATATTGAAACAATAGGAATATAGCTGAAGTTTATATATCATGAATGTTACCATCATATTTATACTTGTAGAATGATACCCATTTTTTTGCCTTATTTATTTATTTATACCTGGGWTTGAATCCAGGGTCACTTAACCACTGAGCCATACATATCCCTTTTTTATTTTGTATTTGCTTAGGGCCTTGCTAAATTGCTGAGGCTGACTTTGAACCTGCRATCCTCCTGTCTCAGCTTCCCAAGCAGATTAWAGGCGTGCACCACCACAGCCAGCACACCTGATACTTCTTTACCAATTACTATAGTATATTTTATACATTTGAATTGCACATGGTCTTTATAGGGTTGAGTAAGAACTATTGAGAAAAAAAGATATTCTTTAAGCTAAAATAATAAGATTATTTGATTATTCTGTGTTTCACTTTTGCYATATAAAGTAAGTTACAGAAGCTCCAAGATACAATTTGACATGTGATTGTATTAGAAATACTGTTTTTGACACTTCTACCAGCCTTTTGTCTTTTTAAAAGTGTTCTTATGAGTTACCAAAGTAATATATGTTCATTATATTATAAAATGGGCAGAAGCAAAAACAGTTCCTCRYAGTTCTTTTTGTTTGTTTGTTTTTGTTTTCTGCTTCTCAATCTTTTCTGTTTCCTTTATTCATTTGAAATCATTTAGTTCTGGATTTTTCCCTTTTCATTTAATGTAGAAAAATATGTGTAATATTGCAYTGGGGCAGCAACCATGTCTAATATTTTTAAGAGTAGCCAAGGCTTTTGTAGCCAACATGCCTGGGTCCAGATCCTGGCTCCATCTCATGCTAGTTGTGTCTTTGGATAAGCTGTTTTACTTTCCTCATCTATAAAGTGGAATGGTACTTAATACATACTATTTGGGGTTTGTCTGGGAAATGAATGAGGTAGTTCATTCTCAGTAGTTCAGTGTAA